CAATCCCTTACCCAAAAACTTTCCTCCTCCTAGTCCCTACCCAGTCCTCCCTTGTCCTCTTTTTCATACCTTGTTTTTGTGTGGGAAGTGTCCCGGGGTTCTCTTAGAAGTTTGGTTATGATGTATTGATTGTTTTCTCTTTTGCAATGAAATAGATCTCCGCGTTGATATTGATCATTCTTATTTCTCTACTTTTCTGTTATGCTAAGGTGAGAAGGTTGATAGAGGGAAGGTTTCATGTTTGTTTGTCATCATCAAAAAAGGGGAAATGTTATTTTTAGTTTTGATGATTTGACAAAAAAAAGGATCTGATAAGAGGACCTGATCCCATGGTGTTAACATGCGAGAAAGGGACAGTTGGAAAAAGTACACTGCAGTCTCTGACACCTGTAGGTCTGCAGGAGTTGGTGCGCGTCTCTCGAACGGTGTAGCAGAGTCATTGGCTAATAGCATGGTTTCTAAGTTTGTGTCTATCATTTATAAGGTTCCTTCCAATAGACACAACCTCAATTTTTGCATTCCTGAAATATTCAAGAACACAAGCCAAAACCATCTTTCTGAGAAGTATCTTCTTCAAGAGCAACAGGGACCTGATAGAGCTATTTGTGTCTTTATTGTCTTAGGATTTATACTTTAGTGCTTATCATTGTAGATCTATTCATGTGTTATAAAGGAATTATATCATTGTTCGTTTCAAGTCAAGAAGTCTAAATCAGTTAGAGTTAATTGGTTTAGTGGGCAACAGAGTTGTTGCTTAGTTGAAGTCTAAATCATCTAGAGTTAGGTGGTTTAGTGGGAAATAGAGTTATTTCTTAGTTCTTTCTTTGTAGTAGAGTTGCTACACTGAGGGGGAAGGGATTTAAAGTTAAATTCCTAGGTTACAAGAGTCTGTAATCTGAATCATCGCTCTTTTCACAGTTAAATGGAGTTGGGTTGAAATCATGTGAGTACCGATCGTGGTTTTCACTGCCCTTGAGCAAGGGGGTTTTCACATAACTGCTTGTGTTTCTTACTTTATTACTTGTGATGTTTGTTACTGTTCTTACTATGTCAAGGGACCTGGTCCATTGACTGATAGTGGACGCATACATCTTAACACTTGGCAATCCACCGACAGGCGACAAAAGTGTCAAATTTGTAATGGCCATAACCACACTGCCCCAAATTGCTTCCAACACTACAGCAAAAACACGAATCATGTAGCTTATCTATCACATTCAACTCCAATTGTAGTATCTCAACAATGGTTCCCTGACACTGGAGTGACGTACCACATCAGCCCTGATCTCACCACATTTCATCAGATTGAGGATTATAAAGGACCTGATCATGTTCATGTTGGTAATGCTAATAGCATCCCCATTCATCACACTGGTAATGCCACTTTTCCTTCCTCTATTCTATTTCGTCTAAATAACGGTAATGGTAATAGCATCCCCATTCATCACATTGGTAATGCCACCCTTCCTTCCTCTCTTCTCTTTCATCTAAATAACATTCTTCATGTTCCCTTGATCACTAAATGCTTATTCTCCGTCCAATGTTTTTCTCATGATAATAATGTTTTCTTTGAATTTTATCCCTTCCATTTTTTGTTGTGAAGGATCAAGCTTCCAAGATACCAGCTCTTTCAAGCAAGAGTGATGTGGGACTCTACACTCTCTAACCGTCTTCTACTTCCAAGTCTACTTCACCCTCGATTCTTTGTTCTATCAAGGCGTCTCCCTCTTTTTGGCACCTTCATCTAGGACATCCTCATCAACCAATTCTTCATTAAGTTATTAGGACACATAAATTGCCATGAACTAGTTTTAGTTTTCATTCTATTTGTAGTTCTTGTCAACTCAACAAATCGCACCAATTGTCTTTACCTCTGAGCATTAATAAAAGCTTATTCTATCTTCCAATTGTTATATTTCGATGTTTGAGCTTCGGCCCCCATTCTTTCATCTCAAGGACACAAATGTTTTCTATTATTGTTGATGATTACATAAGATATTGTTGGGTTTCCTCTTTCTCAAAAAACTGATGTTTTGCGAATATTTAATTAGTTTTGCACCCTTATTGAAAGACAATATAATACCAAAATTAAAGCTATCCAATCCAATTGGGGCGGGGACTTTCGATCCCCATAACTTGTCCTTGCTCGACTTGGCATCGCTCATTGAGTCTTTTGCCCTCATACTCACGAGCAACGACGCAGAGTTGAATGAAAGCATTGTGATGTAGTCGAAACTGGCCTTAGCGTTCATGCTCATAGTTTGGTTCCCTTTTGCTTTCGGCAATACGCACTTGAGTCTGCTATTTTTTTTTATTAATCATCTTCCTTCAGTCACAACTCATAATCTCTCGCCATATGAACTAGTCCATCATTCCAAAGCCGATTATTCTTTTCTTAAGGTCTTCGAATGTCTATGCTTTCCTTACCTCTGACCTTACAACAAACACAAGTTTGATTTCCAAAGCAAACCTTGTGCGTTTCTTGGATATAGCCCAACTCACCTAGGGTATCGTTGTTTGGATCAATCCAGTGGATTTGTCTATGTTTCCTGACATACTCGCTTTGATGAATAAAATTTTCCATTCGCCAAGTCATCCATCATTTGCCCTGTACCAAATTAGTTTCTGTCTAGCACGCATCAGGCTTCCCTTCCAGTTTGTATGCCTCCATATAGAGTCATTTATCAATCTTCTTCTATCAGATATGTTCCTCCTTTGCCACCCCATCCTACTCAGCCACCCTCACCATCACTAACTTATCCTAACATTAATTTAGGAGACCCTTCTTCTCACTCTTTAAGTCTCGAATGCACTACCAATCCAACTTTCATAGCTACTCCTATACCTTATTTGGATGCTCCAATCCACAACCAACTTCCCTCTAAGGTGTTCCCAACACCTCTTCCCCTGCTTTACCCTTTGTTGTCGACTTAAGTAGTAACAACATGCTCCCATAATCTTCCCCTACTATGCTACCTCCGCCAACCTGTATTGATAAGCTCATAGCCCCTCCTCAACGCTCACATCATATGGTTCTTCGAAATATGCACCCGTCCTCAAATTTGGCACTACCTCAGATGTATTACCCCCTCCAACATGTGAGCCATCATGTTTCAGGGAAGCTTCCAAACATAAAGAGTGGTGGGCTGCTATGGCATCTGAAATGGATGCATTAATGTGGAATGACACTTAGTCTTTGGTTCTGTATGATTCCTCACTGAAATTATTGGGTGCAAGTGGGTATTTCGAGTAAAAGAATATTATTCAGGTGCGATAGAGTGCTACAAGGCTCGCTTAGTTGCAAAGGGATTTCATCAACGGGAGGCTCATGACTACTATGAGACATTTACCCCTGTTGTTAAGTCAGGTACCATTGGCATTATTCTCACCTTGGAAGCATTGCACCACTGGGTTTCGCGTCAATTAGATGTGCAAAATGCTTTTCTTCATGTTGAACTGCAAGAAGTCTATATGTCACAACCTTCCAGCTTCATACATCCTCAATATCTGAATAACATTTGAAAGCTTGGGAAATCAATCTACGGTCTCAAACAGGCACCTCAAACATGGTACATGCGCCTTCTTAGCTTCCTCCTTATTATCTAGTTCACTACTTCAAAATCATATACATCTTTGTTTATTTATCAAGCTCACAGTGTAGTGGCTTATATATCTTGGTCTACACATATGATATTATAGGTCACCGGAAATAATTCATCCTTGCTGGGAGGCATCATCACCAAACTTGGTGCAGAATTTTCAATTCATGACCTTGGTCCTTTAAGTTTTTTCCTTGGTATTCAAGTCTCTCGTGGATCTTCTGGCATCACCCTCTCTCAGGAGCTGTAAATTACATCTCTTTTTAAAGAATGCTAGTATGCAGAATTGTAAGCCACTTTCAACTCCTGTGGCAGTGAACTCAAAGCTACATATTGGTGATAGTCCCTTGTTCCATGATGCTACGTATATCAAAAAATTGTCGGAGCCTTACAATATGTCACACTTACGTGTCCCAACATTGCCTTTGTCGTCAACAAGGCATGCCAATTTATGCATAATCTCACGAAAAATCAATGACCTGAAAACTACAGTCGAACTGAAAATGCAAGCAAACCAGATCACGTCGATCTGATTATCTACTTGAAAGGTACTGTAACATACTATACATGTAATAATTACTAACTATAGATTGTTTAGCAAACGTAATTAAATTTTGAATGTAACTCCATGAAGACTTGGACCTTGGATATCAGAATTAATGGATCTTTTATTCTATCAAACAGTTTCGCGAAAAAAGCACATACATCAAATCAAATCAATTTTTTGATCATTTAGTCATTTTGGTGTTTTCTTTCTCTTCTTCATTTTGGTGTTTTCTTTTTCGTCCTCTATTTCCATCCAATTCCTCTGTTTTTCCCTCCTCTGCTTCTTCCATTTTATCATTTGATTGTTGATTTCCATTCTATCCATCAATCTCCATTTGCGCTTCTTCTTCTTATACTTCATTTTGAGGAACTGGTTTTACCATTTTGTTTCGCAGAGAGAATCAAAACAGAAAGAGAAAAGGAATAAATATTTTAACTTTTGTTTCAAATATGAAGTGACTGAAGAAGATGGTTAAGCACTGAAAATTAATGCTCCATTGAAAAGATAATGATTCTATGGAAACTTGACCTTGAAAATTAAGAGTGGATTAAAGCTCCACTTTCATCTGATCTTTCCACTTTTATCAAAGGACTTAACATCTCTAATTTTATAAATATGTAAAAGAGATGATATCAAACTAAAGTTGAAAGTGAAACAATTTCAAAATTCATATCAAAATGATCACTGAATCTTAGGAACTAGAACAGTTTCGCAAGCAAATCACATATCAAACAGCTCTGCAAAAATAGCACATACGTCTCACAAATCAAGTTTCTGATCTTTAAGTCAGAAATGTAGTAATGTTTATGTAAATTTTATACAAAAATGAATCTGAAAATTAGTATTGTAACCTATTACCAGCTCCACTTATCAAAATCAAATTCTTTTCCTTCATTTTTTTCTTCATAATCCTCGAATGGTCCTCCTTTATACACTAGTTGTTTTCCTTGTTTAATAGCTCGTCTTCTTCTTTCTTTTTCTTCTTCTTCCTCGTTTTTGCAATTCTCTTCTTCGTATTCAACAATTTCTCCGTTTGGATTTTCATCTGTTTGTCCTAGTTGATTCCCTTCAGAAGCTTCCTCTATTTCATTATATTCTTAATTTCCATTATGTCCATCAACCTCCTTTTGCCTAACTTCTTCTTCATTTTCATCAATTTCTCCATTTGGATTTTCATCTATTTCTTCTAGTTGATTCCCTTCAGCTTGTTCCTCTGTTTCTTCCATATTTTCGTTAGATTCTTTATTTCCATTATGTCCATCAAGCTCCTTTTTCCCAACTTCTTCTTCATTTTCATCAATTCCTCCATTTGGATTTTCATCTGTTTCTCCTAATTGATTCACTCCAGCTTTTTCCTTTATTTCCTCTATATTTTCATCAGATTCTTGATAGTTGATTCGCTCTAGCATTTTCCTCTGTTTTTTTCCATTATTTCATCAGATTCTTCATTTCTATGCTTTGATTCTTGATTTCCATTTTGTCCATCATGCTCTGGTTCTCCTGTAGTTTTTTTTTTTGCAGAGAGAATCAAAACAGAAAAAGAAAATGAGTAGACTTCGCACTTTTTTGGAATATGAAATGACTGAAGAAGATGGATAACTGCCTTTATATAATAAAACTAATTAGTGAAAAGATTGTTTACTGAAAAAAAAATGTTTTAAACTTCCATTGCTATATATTTTATAGACGCTTAAATTTTTTCCCTCTAATTCAAAATTAGTGTTTTACTTTTAAGTTTTTCATTTTCCATTGCAAAACCAATGGCAAATATGTATTTTTTTTCGAGGGGTTTATTTGGGTTCATGTGAACTCATGGAAAAAGATGCATAGATGTTTCCGTACTAATACGTGGGAGATTGGTCATCAATGATTTTAAGAGAGGAAGAGGTAGATCGAAGAAATATTGATGAGAAATGATTAGATAGGACATGACATAGTTTCAACTTAGATTGCCTGAATTGATTGAGGGTGCATGTAATCTTTCTTGCAGCCACAATCATTTTTAAAAATATGATAAATTGATAACCCAATTATGAAGCTTACAAAACTTTATAGAAGTTGTGAAATATGAAGCATTAGATTCACTCACGCATATTCAGGATTTTGGGATGATGGGTCCACTATTATGAAAAGGTGGATCTAATTGTTTTGACATTTAGGTTCTTATTATTGAAAACAGTTAAAATTTTAAAATTATAGGTCCAAATCTGAAATGCTTAATTAATTAAAACACCAAAAGTGCTATCAATAATCACTTAGAGAGGTGTTACCCAATTTTAGAAAGAAAAATAAAATAAAATAGATATAAAATTCAAGTATCTAAGAGGTGCACCCAATCATCGTCGCATTATATGATACTTCGAGTGTGGGTTCACACATATATATTTAACAAAAAAATGAAAAATATAACACTAGTATTTTATGATTTTGGGAGGAGAGCACGGGTTCACATGAACCTGGGGACCCGCTCTGCATACACCTCTGGATTCACTATAGAAACTTAGAGTCTTCCGTAAAATCACGGTTACTAGTTTTATTTTTCTATTATATTGATTATCATATCATATTATATTAAAAGTGAGAAGCTCCTATCTTCAAAGTTGGAATACCATTTTGCCCCTAGTCAAATTAAAATGTTATAAGAAATATAATTAATCAAATATTAAATAGTCCTATAGTATTTTGTGTACTAATAGTAACCTTAAGTTGTAATAAATTTAAATATTATATACATAATTATATTACTATTATTGTTATTATTACTAATCTAAAAGTTGGAAGTTCTAACTATCGTTAATAAGAAATTTTCTTTTTATTAAAAGGAATCAAGAAATATATTTTTATCATCATTATACGGTACAATAAATAATAACAATAAATAAGATAAATAAAGCAATAAAACATTCATAGCATGTATACAAATTAGGAACGTCATTCATAATTATGACAAGACTGTTGAGTTTTTAGCTTGCACTCTTTAATCCTTTCTACTTAATAATTCAAATCAATTCTTTGTGTAGTCCAAATATATTTGAAAATGCTTTTTTGAAATCTTTATTTCTATTATCTTGTATGATGTATGCAAAGTCACTTGTGTAGGGCTTTTCGAGGTTCTATACACCATGTTACACCTAGGGTATACTTTGAGTTGTGACAAACTTGGTATCCAAAGCACAATGTTTATATAAAGGTCCTAGGATTTATCACAAATCGCGTTGGGTAGAGTCTTGTTCATAAGTGTGAAGTGCGCCGCATTTATGAATAGAAGGCTACAAAGCGTTTAGGAGACTCCACTTCTTTAGTCATTCTTAAGTCGTGCAATAGAGTGTAACTCTAAATGTCTCTCTCCTAATCCTTGTCCGATGGTTTTCAGGATATGGCCCCTCGAAGAGCATATGTTAGGAGGAATGTTGGTGAGAATGCGGAACAAGAGGTTCCCCAAGTGCCTGTTGACCCTTTGGCCGAGCAAGTATCTCATAATGAATTTCGAGCCGCATTTCACACATTGGTCCAAGATATGATGACTCGAGCAAATAGATATGGTGTGGCTCCCGTGAACCCAAGGGTGGGTATGACGGCAACAAAGGTGAGGGACTTTACTACGATGAATCCCCAAGGGTTTTAAAGTTAAGGAAGATCCTCAAGAATTCATCGACGAGGTTCACAAGATTGTAGAGATTATAGGTATCACTTTGGTAGAAAAGGTAGAACTGGATGTCGACCAATACAAAGATGTTTCTCATGTTTGTTTTAACCGATGGAAGGGAGAGAGGGAAATTGATGAGGGTCCTCTTGATTGAGAGAAATTAAGGTTGCCTTTCTAGATAGGTTCTTTCCCCTTGAGATGAGGGAGGCAAAGGTGCTTGAATTCATTAATCTTCATCAAGGCAGCATGAATGTCAAAGAATATGCAGTAATGTTTACTCAACTATCGAAATATGTTCCAACTATGATTTCCAATCCAAGGGAAATGATGAGCAAATTTCTGTTGGGTGTTTCCGACTTGGTGGTCAAAGAATTCCTAACTGACATGCTTGTTAGGGACATAGATGTCTCCCACTTGATGATACATGCTCAGTAAATCGAAGGAGAAAAACTTAAGTAGAAGGCTAGGGATTCAAAGAGGTCTAGGATAGACAATGGTTATTTCTCGCATTCGAGGTTAGGTGGAAATGATCGTTCACAAGAGTTTAACAAAGGTAGGGTGTCTAACCCTAAGTTTCAAGGTAATGGTTCTAGTGAGCAAATGGTGTCCAAGTGTCAGAGGTATGAAAAAAGCTAAAAGGGTGAGTTTCTAGCCGGTTCAAACGCATGATATGGCTATGGAAAGAGTGGTCACAATATGAGGGATTGTTCATTGCTTGCTACTAAGGGAATGGATGGTAGGCAAGTTCAACCTAGTGATTCCAATTTGGGTACCCCAAGGTAAAATAGGTTATATGCTTTTCGGGCTCGACAAGATCACGAAGGTTACTCGGATGTGGTAATTGGTAAGTTATGGTCTTTTAGCTTGTGGTTATACATTGATTGATATTGGGTGTTTCATTGATTATGATATGACTCTGTGTATGGTTATTGTGTTGAGGTCGACCTTGAAATCCTTGTGGAAACTTCTTAAGTATTTACTTATATCGATGGTTCTGTGGTTGTTAATACTTGTGTGCTATACTTGGGTTAAGCGAGATGGATTCGAAAAGACTAGTGAGGTTTACTCTCAAGGGGGAGATAGTGTACTTCATGGTTGGTGTGTGTGTGGAACTATTTCAACTAATGAAGGGTTCCTTGCTATGGTTTGGTATGTGAAAGGTCGGAAGCTATGTGATGTCTTAGTATCCCTATCTTATTCCATTATCTTCGGGTCTAGCTTGAGGAATTAGCCCCTCACGTTCACTCTTTAGGATTCTTGGGTTTTTAGTCACTCTTGTGTTTCCTCATGCATGCATGCTCATGAAAATTTGATTTTTGAAGATATGATTTAGCTTGATTTATTGCTACATGATTGTGCCATTTGTGTATGATTTGCATGTATGTTTCATGAAAATATGTTTTGAAAGTATGTTTTAGCTTGTAATCAATTTTCCTCTTTGGATATGTGTATTTTAATGAAATTACACTCATGTTGGGTTGTTGGTTTATCTCCTACTCTATTCTTTCTAGCTTGAGTCCAATTCAAGAATGAACGTTTCCAAGGGGAAGATATTGTAACACCTTGGGATTTGGAAAAGGTAAAGTGGGTTGAATGGTCAGGTCCGCAGAGCCCAACCGTGAACCTTTCACGGAGCCTAAACGGCTCATGAAAGGGTTCAAAACCCATGGAGAGGGATAGGGTGGTTGTTTAGGCCTTTCAAATTTTTCCATCTCACATTCACGACCCCTTCACGAACCACGAAGGGCTAAATGGTCCGTCAAGGCCTCCCATATAGGTCTCCATCACCTTTTTCAGTCAGGGCTATTTTATCATTTCCTATGTGTTTAATACACAAGTTATGTCATTTTATCCCCTATTCTAAGCCCTATATAAGTCTTTTAAGTCCTAAACTACCCATTCAAGAAATCACTCTCCTAAATCTGAAATTCCCTCCAAGTTTTTCCACAAAATTTCTCTCTAAAGCTAAGGAAGAAGAAGCTAGGGTTTCACTTCAAGACCTCCAATTGATCACCATAGCTCTTGGGCCTTGATCACTAAGGTATATTATTATTCACCTATGGAGTTCTTTCCTCCATAGGGCTCCCAAGATCTTCCAATTTTACAAGTTCAATTTTCAATTCAAAGTCAAGGCTTTATTCAATATTCATGGGTTCTTCTCAATTATGATTCAATTGATTGTTTCTTATATTTTAACACATAAACTGAAGTAATAACATGTTTTTGAGTTGAATTTTTATGAACCCATGCATGATTTATGATTTTTGTCTACGATCACATGATGAAGCTTGTGAACTATGATTTATGGAATTTTTGCATGTTTTATGAAAGCAATGTTTATGACTTAAGTAAGCTTATAGATGAAGGTAACTATATATTTTATGAAGGTTAGCCACATGCCATAAATGACATCTGTCACACCCCTTTTTTGCATGGCGGATAGGGTTTTTCCAATTAAAGTGATGTTATTGATTAAGGGATTTTTTTTTTCTTAGAGTCACCACTTGGAATTGAGTTATGGTTTTCCAAAGTCACCTTTTTTTAATTCATAATCAAAAGAAAATGGCTTTTTATTATGGTCTGCGAACTAGAAATTCGGGTAAGGAATTCTGTTGACCGAGGGAAAGTTATTAGGCATCCCTCGAGTCCCCGTGATTCTAGCACGGTCGCTTTTTATTGACTTATACTTACTTTAAAATATTCTTGGATATATTATTTCAGGCTATGGTTTGCTCGCATGTTTTGATTGTTGAACTTTATTGG